AAACGTTGTACATTTGCTGTCATGTTAAACTTATATTAAAGTTTTTCTTCATCACCCATTTAAGCCGTCTCCAGCCATTATTACTAACTTAGTGAATCCTGAAACTAGTAGCAGTAATAGCAAAAATAAACTGCAGAATGGCAAGTGTAGGGATTTGTTACAGGTGAAATGAAAATAAAACTTTATTGCCTTAGAAATTAAAAAAATGGCCTCTCATGATGTACTACTACTAATGGTACTGGTACAGTAATAGGGCTGTTGAGTTTTTTTTCTAGATTAAATTGTTGGTAGTGGCTCAAAGGATGGCTGCTAGATGATACCTGGGATGGAAAGGTTGTAACATATCAAATAACCAATATACTATCAGGGTACTATAATTTGTAACATAAATTACAAATTCATTAACACCACTCTAGTTTTATATAAAATTAATAATTATGCAGTGCCTGTCCATGATTGTGTAACTAAATATCACAATCGTCAGACACAATAATAATAAAAGCAATGTTGTTAATATCAAATCAAAATAACAATAATAACTAATTTAGGAAAGAAGAAGATGAATAAAAACTAGTTTGTTAACTAACACAAAAGAACAATATTAGACACTTCTAAAAAAATTCTGTTAAATCAAAATAAAAATTAATTTGCAATAATTTCTTTTAACAACCAAATATCATTAACACAGCTCTGAAGTATGTTATAACTCCTCTGAACAGTCTGCTTAACTTCAGCTCATAAGGCTTTTTATTTCCTTGCCAGACCACAGGATTGCATATCATGTGATTAACAACTTAGCATTAGTTTTACATAATCATATACAAACTTAGTATTCTTACATCACTGGTATGGGAATTTTGTGTTAGTGTCTTAAAGTCACTCTTGATATTTAATATTCACTAGGAGGCAGGTGGATTAGCTTATAAGGCAAATACAAATTTTGTTTAACTTAATAATAGAAGGAAAAATACATAAATGATAAAAAAAATCATAACTAGAAATAGAAATTAGTACCTCTCTCTACACTAGAGAAGACAAATCTAAATCCTTAAGCTCTTCTTGTAGCTGAAGTTTCTAAAAGTAAGCATGCTATGATCTTGTAATGCACTCTTTCCAATATGTTACATTGAAAACTGTACAATATTGCAAATAAAACTTTACCGGATTAAATTTATGACTTGTGATTTAAAAAATAACTTGCATATATCATATCATGGTAATTCTTATTTTATCATAATATGAGAATTGCTGTATTTCAAGATACTATAATGTACTATAATAGCTTTCTTCTATAAAATTAAAGCATTACAATAGCATATTTTCAATTAATTCTTTGGTGTATTAATGCTTCCTATAATATTTTATCATTTGGTTTATTTTTTCTATAACTTGATACGATAATTAGAGCTCTATTACTTTTATTATACCTCTGTGCAGCTTATTTATTAAGTTGACTTTTTTTTTTCATAGGAATTGATGCAAGCAATGTTATAAAGAAGAAGAAAACCTCTCATATTACAGAGTAAGTACATGTAGCCATGATAGTCTTTAGTGCCATGTATCATTTTTCATGAGGGTTCACAATAATAATAATAATTAACTCATTTTAAAAACTAGAAAAAACTGATTTCTACTGTAATTTATGAACTGGTAATTCGTGGAAATAAATTTTGGAAATATAATTATTATTGCTTATTCTTTAAAGAACATGTTTGCGGGGTCATTTCCACTTTAGAAAAATAGATTTTCATATCATCATCATCATCTTTCTAGATCTTTCAATCAAATGTTCATAAAATAGATTTCATCTTACATATAAATGATAAATCCAAATTGAGCCTATAGCCTTCTTATTTGACTCAATTCAATTAATCAAAAGATTCTATGTCAATGAAAAAATCAGCTAAAACAAAGAGCAAGTCACTTTCCTATTTTTTCAATCGTCATAGAATTACATCATAGCCAAATATGACATTACTGAAAATATGATATACAAGAATTTAATAGCATATTTTATGGTGTTTATAAAAGTCATTCAGATTTATTTAGTGCTGTTAAATTTTATTTCAGAAACACTATTCACCCCTCTGCACAACAAACAGCTATTACCTTGCACACATTTTTTGTGTACCACAAGTCTTGAACAGAGCTTCCACCACTAAATGTTAAAATGTATTGCACCAGCCTATGTTCTAATCATCATTAGACTAGTTCTCCACCAATAGGAGAGTGACATCCTCTACATGCAGTAATCCTGATGAGCACTAGCATTTGAACAAAATCTCATTCTTTTCTTGGCATTCCTTGTCTTAGAACATGTTTCTTTTATGAATTTTTGTGCTTATTATTCTAAACTTTTGTTACCATTTCTTTCCTTGATTTTCTTGATTATGTGAAAGAACAACACCACATTTTAAATTGGACATTTGATTCACATCATCATCAATTTGATTTTCTTTTGATCAGATTTGTACTTTTGGAACATATGTCGTATTGTTTAACCAAACATATGGGTTTCCTCCAGTGCTCTTCAGGGTCATCATTAGTCCTATATACTGACAATAAACCAGGCTCATTTTATTTCTCCAAAAATAAGGTGTGGGGGGGGGGTTCTGTGTCATTCCTTGCATTTTACAAAAAATAACTACCATGAAATCAGTTTTGTGGATCAACTAGATTATGAATTCATGTTTCCACATTTATTACATATCCTGCAGTTTTTGATATTCCTACACAGGAGTCATTCAACACTGTAATGGCAACTGGAGGCTATCTTGCACTTTGTGGTTGGTTACATTGTTACTTTAGCTGAGCCTGCCCCATCTTGTAACATGTTTCCACACCTTTGTTACTATTTTTGGTTTTGCTTTTCGTTTCCTCTTCTCAATAAGGATCAGGTAGTCCCACCTTCATTATTCACTGCTTGGATTTTACAGGTATGTGTCTTTTGTTCAGTTTTTCTTCAGTTATTTTTGCTGAATCTTGGACTCCATCACTTGAATTGCATGTATTAGTTTAGGGAGCTCTTCTTTTCTCTCTGTCTCTCCATCTACTAGTCTTCATCTTTTACTGAACTTCTTTATTTATTATCATGCTTTCCCTGCTTTTAAAGTTATCATCTCTTCTCCCTCCTCTTTGAAGGCTATTTATCACAGATCTTGAAGGCGATTTGTTTCTGATGCCATCTCTCAGCTCCTATTCTATGGTAGCTCTGCTCTACCTCATTCTACACTTGTTGACTCCTTTTGCTACAACCAATTGATTTCCTCAAGTGTTTTATTTGTGTGTTTTTTTCTGGCCTTCTGCTTTCCACTGCACATGTTTCAAACATCTTGCAACAATTTCTCTTCCTCATAATTCTCATTAAAATGGGAGATTAGTGGTGGTCTTCATTCTGCCTCACTTGACCCAACTTTGATCTTTTCTTGGTTCCTGATGGATACTCTCCCCTTTGGTGAATAGTCTTGTTTGAAGTCTCAGACACTTTCTTCTCATCCCAATTTATCTACCTGCCATTCACTTCTTTTGGTTCTTTGGTCGAACATTTGGTTCTCAGACATTCCCTTTGAATTGACTACAGCCCCATCCTTTTTCATTGGTTTTGGTGAGCTTTTGATCACTGGTTACATTTTTGAGTCCTGTTGTTCCACTACTTTATGGATGTTTATCCTCTAATTGCTCTTACCAGGGTTACTTCTTCCATTGCAACCTCCATTCTCCTTAGAGAATTCATTTAGGGTACTGGTTTAGTCCTCCTATTCAGTCTGAACCTTCACCCTGTATCTATTTCTTGGGGGCAACTGCCCATGGGCCCACAAAGCATCTTTAGGCTCTATCTGCATTTAATGATAAAAACCATAGTTTTTGGCTTTTCTTTGCATATGGACGCTTGATACATTAAGAACGACTGAAATAATAATTTGAGTAATGGTTAATATGTACTTGTTACTTTATAGATTTAATAGGTATTTGTTGTTACTTTATTAAAGTTTTAAGCTTATACTGTGAGGTAAAAACGGCTGCTGCTATGATTTTGTCT